CATTATAAGTATATGCTTTCATGATAAAACCAAGAAAAGGATTTTTATGGAATTTTATTAAGAAAACAAGGTGTTTTTTTACAATTTTTCCACATGATAGTGTGTGTGTGTTTACATGTGTCTGTATTTACATGTATATGTGTGTGTGTGTGTGTGTGTGTGTGTGTGTGTGTGTGTGTGTTTACAGATTATATGTATATGCTTTCATGATAAAACCAAGAGAAGTATTTTATGGAATTTTATTCAGAAAACAAGTTTACTCTCTGTGTGTGTGTGTGTGTGTGTTTACATGTGTGTGTGTATGTGTGTGTTTACATGTGTCTGTGTGTGTGTGTGAGTTTACCAACTATATGTATAAGCTTTCATGATAAAACCAAGAGAAGGATTTTATGGAATTTTATTCAGAAAATAGGTTTACAAGTTTTTCTTTTTACAGTTTTTCCACATGACTCTGTGTGTGTGTGTGTGTGTGTGTGTGTGTGTGTGTGTGTGTGTGTTTGTGTCTATGTTTGTGTTTACATGTATCTTTGCGTGTGTGTGTTTGCATGTGTGTAGGGGTGAGTACCTCGCCCTTTTTTTAAGGAAATGGAACCATAACCGACCGGTTCTTGGAATATGGAATCAGAACCAGAATCGGCTAGTTTCGGTTCCTTAGTAGCTGGAACCAAAACTTGAAAACCAGGTTCCAATTCTGATCCCAGTACTTGATAAAATTACAAAATGATCTCTATTAGTTTCAAAAATAACAAATAAACTTTTAAAAATTACAAATACACCTCATCTCTTCTAAACACATACCTGAATTTGCAATATTAATTTTTCAGCAATTCTTAACTGATAGAGAATCTTCCATTTATATAATAATTGCATGAATTTAGGCATGTATTCTAATATAACATAAAGCATAATATTTTCCCCTTGGCAATTTCAAGAAGAAAGAGGAAAAGATACATCACTCATGAACATGAAAGCATATGCTGGAAATAGCATAATGCATTATTGAAATTGTAAATTGTTAGTGTCTTAAAGATACTACAACTTTTAAATCCAATCTATATGTATAAGCAATAAGTGAATACTCATTATAGTGTTAATATATAAAATGTCCATGCCGCTATTTTAGCTGATTTGAAATGATATTGTAGCATCAAATATCAGATAACAATCTTAAATAAAATCTAGTTAACTTGAAAACCGAACTCTTATCTTCCTTTTCCAGCCGTACCTATTTGATACAATTTCAAAGTCATTTCAATGTTGACCATTCCTATATTATACAACACCTCACCAGAAAACATCTTGGTTAAATCACTGTAATACATTCTAAACTCAGGTAAAGCATAAACAAGTTGACCACTCACAAATTCACAACGCTCCATTTGTTACCTATAGTGAGCAAATATTTACTTTCCAAGTCCTGACAAAGCAGCACCTATTCAGTAAATTTTCAATACCCATCTCATATATTGTACAATACGTAATACACGCATTTTGTTAACTCCTCAGAAAAGCTAAATCCCAATTGTAGCACAAACATTTCTAACCCACATAATTGACAAAAGTCCTGCACCTTACCAAGAAACTTAGATCCATCTAACCAACTAGAACCCACTACACTATAAGATCAAACAAACCAAACTCATTACTGTACTGTAATCAATTCAAATCAAAACAAGAAGAATGAGTGAAACAATTTCATACAGGGATGTTTTATACACTCAAATACAGAAGAACAATCTTAGGTAAAATCTGTACAAATCCATAATAAAAAACTCAAAAAAAACAAATCACAAAAAAAACAAAAACAAAATATGATAAAATTGAAAAAATCTAAACACGAAACATCATAAACATAGAAAACAAAACCCATAGATCCTGCTACGACACAACAAATCAAGCTCTTCTCTTTCTTTAGAGAGAACACGCGAAAAAATAACAAATCACTTGACTTGAGTAAATGTCATCATCAGTTAATTAGTGTTGATAAGCATGAATTAGAGCCAAAGGGTATAGAGTTGAAGACTAATAATCAGTTAAATATACAATCAAGTTGACCCCTAGTTCTCAACAGGGTACCCTAACCTTGGTTCCGATTCCTAACACTGGTGGAACTGGAATCGGACCTGAAATCAGTCGATTCCACCTAATGGGAACCGAAACCTACGAAATAAGAACCGAGAGCCCGAGTATCCGCCGATTCCGATTCTACCCTATTTTCATGCTCGCCCTTACATGTGTGAGTGTGTGTGTGTGTGTGTGTGTGTGTTTAGATTTGTGTGATGCATGAATTTAAATACATATTAGCAAGTGCACTAGTCATATGAAGTAATAAAGTGATAAAAGCAAAGTATCATTCCCTCAAGAATAATGTATTAACAGATTTCTCTAGTGTTAGTACTAATTGAAGCAACAAAAATGGGATGGATGAAAGAATTAACAACTAAAACAAATTAACAAAATGCAAGACAGTAAAAATGGAAATAGAGCAAAACCCAATGTCAAACTTAATCAAACAATTATCACAAATGCTAGGTTGTTGATTTCACCTAGATACGCAAACTCCATTTATAGAATCTATTACCCGCTTTTTGATTTCATTGATTGAAAACCGAATTCCCTATAATGTTTGATACTCCTTCTCAGATTATACCACCGCACCTATATCTATTAACCTTCCACACCCAAAAATTGAAGTTAATAGTTCAAAGTCTCTTAAACTTTATGGAATTCTTCTTAGGTCTCATAGATCGTGTTTGTTTATCTCTAATTTTCGCTCAATCTATAGTATTCGCCCCAAGAGGCACACATCTTGATCACAAATTACTTCTCAGTTTCATTATGAACAACAAATTAATTGAATGGTGATCAAGCATTCAAAAGCATTAAGCAAAAAGATAAACACCCAATCATGAAATCAAAGCTCAAAGTAAATCAATTATATAAATGGAATCATTGTATCAAGGAAACATCAAACCTTAGCTAAACAACTTAGCTCATACTTAGAATCGAAGTAAAATAACAAAAACAAGTTGAATCAAAGTTCATAATTGGATAAACAAGCAAAAGAGTGAGAAATCTTCTCTAATTGAAACCCAATTCTTCAATCTTGTTCTCCTTTCAAGAGCTACTCTCCAAAGAACGATTTAGCCTCCTTTCAACTCGTTTTTCGTTCCTTTAAATATCCTTTTCAGTTTTGGGTTCAAACCCTAGCTGTCCGAAACACGCAATTTTGATAAATGCAATTTTTTGTAGTTTTGCCATAGCAAAACTTTTTTTTCGCCACGCGAAGCTTTAATGCCCAAAATTCCAAAGACTTTTTCACCGCGGCAAAATTAAGCTTGATTTGAATAAAATTATGAAACTGCCCTCTCTTGACTTCTCAGCCCAAATCTTCTTGTTTTCAATCTCAATTCTAATCAAATCATCAAGAGTGTGTCCATCCAACTGCAGAACTTCTCAAATATTCTAAATTCAAATCTTTTCCTCATTGACAAACTCAAAATCCCCACTTTCACTCCATAAAAGCATTTAAATCTGCAAAGTGAAATAAAGTGAATTAGATATCTATTTCACCCCTAAAATGAATGAAAAGTATTCTAATTCTTATTAAAATCTAATACAAAATTACTATAAAAACTGGAATTATCAATGTGTGTGTGTCTGTGTATGTGTCTGTGTTTACATGTATCTGTGTGTGTGTGTGTGTGTGTGTGTTTACACATTATATGTATATGCTATCATGATAAAACCAAGAGAAGGATTTTATGGAATTTTATTCAGAAAACAAGTTTACGGGGTTTTTTTTTTTCACATGACACTTTTCAGGCGCCTGATTCTTATAAATGTGCCCGAAGCCTATAGGATAGGGAGGGTCGAGACGGGTCGTGTCATTATGTGCACATTCTACTTGATTCACAACTTAGATAAAATTGTCTTTCATCTACTCAATGTGACTTTACTTGGTCTTTTGCATGGCCTTCTCCCATTTTCTTGTGGACACAAGCATATGCATTTATTGTCAAAAGTAGTTGGACACTGGAATATTCACGCACTGATGCATGTTCTCAAAGTTCTGCAATTGGCCTTTTAGGACGTTACATATTCTTTAAACTTTTTTCTACTCTCTTTTATTCTCAAGGATTGCGGAACCTGAAAACAAAGAGTTGCTCCTCGTATTACTAGATTGGATGCTAGGTCAAGGTTATGCTGGTGATTTATCTACAAGAGACATGATTCTAAAAAAATCACGCTTATTTGGATGATGTCAAAATTATTGAGGTCTCCTTAAGGATGAACAAGTTTATATTAGAGGAGTTCTAGGTAGAGAAATTGTTGATGCAGTGATACTTTTCTGGAAATGCATCAACATTGCAAGTTCAGTTGGAATTGTTTTTTAAGCCTGTTGAAGATAGTTTGCTGCAGTGGTCCAACATGCATGGCTATAATTTTTAGTGTATTGTAGTTGAATGGCTTAAGTGTAATTAAGTCAGTATTATGGTGTGTATTATGTATGAAAAATTAGTTGTTAAGTTTTAAATTTAAATTTGTAATGTCTGTTGTAGTTGTTGAATCAGTAGAGAGTTGTTAAGCTAATGTTTATATTGATCAACTTCAATGAAAACTATAGACTTTCGCATATATGCTCTGAGTTCTTTTTATCTTTCTTTGTATTCTCCAGCCAAGAACCATTTAATGGAATTAGAGCCACTTACAAAAATCTAAAACCTATTGCAACCAATCATCAACGACAACTCAAGAACATCCTCCATTTTCAGCAAAAAGATTAGCCTGCATCTTCCCATCTTTCTTTTCCATGATAGACACAAAATAGAGACATGGCAACCCAATCTGCTTCGATGGCACTACCGATGTTCAATGGGGAACACTACCACATATGGGTTGTTAAAATGAAGGGCTTCCTCCGGGGACAAGGACTATGGCAGTACGGGGAAGAAAACAGGCAGCCACCTCTATTAGGACAGAATCCCATTTTGAATCAAATGAGATTGCATGAGGAAGAAACAGCCAAAGCACCGAGAGCTTTCTCTCACATTCATGCCGCTGTGACTGACCTTGTATTCACAAGGATCATGGCATATGAGACCCCAAAGAAAGCATGGGATAAGCTGAGAGAGGAGTATATGGGCAGCACCACAACAAGGAACATGCAGGTGCTTAATCTAAAGAGAGAATTTGAGATGCAAAGGATGCACGAATCAGAAAAAGTCAAGGATTATGTTGACAAATTAATGAGTGTTGTCAACAAAATAAGGCTGATGGGAGTGGAGTTGACAGATAGAAGAGTGGTGGAAAAGGTTTTGGTGAGCTTGTCGGAGAGATTTGAGTCCAAAATCTCTTCCCTTGAGGACTCTAGGGACATGACTCAAATCACATTGACTGAGCTTGTTCATGCTCTCCAAGCTCAAGAGCAAAGAAGGCTCTTGAGGCAAGAAGACACAAGTGAGGGAGCAATGGTGGCAAACCATAAAGGCAAGCCTGCACAAGGACAAACTAGGAGGTACGCTGGGGATAAAAAAGGGAAAGAAAAGAGTAGCAATCAGTGGGAGAAGTCAGGTGGAGTGAAGGAATTTCCAGCTTGCACTCACTATAAAAAGAAAGGACACTCGAAGAGGAGGTGCTGGTCCAAACCAGGGATACAATACAGAAGCTGTAAACAATTAGGGCACATTAAGAGGGTTTGTAAGAACAAGGGAAGCCAGCCAACACAGCAAGCTCGGGTTGGAGAAGACCAGCAGCAATGTCAGGAGGCTGAACAACTTTTTGTGGCCATATGTTACACGGCTCAAACCAGCAATGAAGCTTGGCTAATTGACAGTGGTTGCACCAACGATATGGCTACAGACCTACAAAGTTTCATTAACCTGGACAGCTCATATTGTTCCAGATTTAAAATAGGAAATGGTGAGTTCATGGAGTCAAAGGAATAGGAGATGTTGTTGTCCAAACCTAGTCAGGTATCAAGATCATTTCACATGTATTGTATGTGCCTAGGATTAGCCAAAACTTATTAAGTGTTGGGCAAATGTTAGAGAAATGCTATTCTCTACATTTCCAAAATCAAGCATGCACCATATTAGATCCTGAAGGGACTAAATTAATGTGTGTAAAAATGCTGGGAAAAAGCTTCTCAGTTGAGTGGAAAAACTCCAACAACTTAGCTTTATCAACTAGGCTAGAAGAGTCAGAAATCTGGCACAAAAGACTTGGCCACTTCCACTACAATGGCCTCAAAGAGCTAAAGAATAAGAATATGGTCCAGGACTTACCTGAGATTGAAGAGAAGAGTACCCTCTGCAGTGCTTGCCAACTTGGCAAACTAAGCAGGCCCCCATTTCCCTTAGATCAGGCCTGGGGAGCAACAACAAAACTCCAGCTGATCCATACTGATGTTTGTGGCCCTATGCAGACTTAATCAATGAATGGGAGCAGGTATTTTGTACTCTTCATAGATGACTTCACACGGATGACATGGGTATACTTTTTGAAGCAGAAAAATGAGGTTTCTGTTGTGTTCAGAAATTTCAAACTGCTGGTGGAGAATCAGGCTGGAACAAAGATCAAGTCCATAAGAAGTGATAATGGAATTGAATATACATCAAGAGAATTCAGTTCAATTTGTCAAGAAGCTAGAATTAGGTACCAATTTACTACACCATATACCCCATAGCAAAATAGGGTCAGTGAGAGAAGAAATAGAACCATCATGGAGATGGTTAGGTGTACGATGGCAAAGAAGCAACTCCCTAAGAGGTTCTGGGTCGAGGCTGTCAATAAAAGAGTCTATCTCCTGAATAGACTGCCAACTAAGGCAGTCAAAGGGCAAACTCCAGCTGAGGCTTGGAATGGAATTAAACCAACAGTGAGCTACTTGAAAGTTTTTAGGAGTGTGTGTTATGTTATGGTTCCAACAGGGAAGAGAACTAAGCTTGATGATACAGTTGAGATTGGCATATTCATTGGCTATAGCAGTCAATCAAAAGGGTACAAAGTATACATCCCTAAGACAAAGAGAATTGTTATAACAAGGGATGTAAAGGTGGATGAAAATGTAGTGTGGAACTGGGAGAGTAAGAAGATAGATGCTGACTGCAAAGTGCAACAGCCAACCGAAAACTTATTTGAAGAAGTTGAAACTGAAGAGGATGAAGAACCACTAGTTCGAGGGACCAGAACCTTGGTTGATGTATATGCAAGGTGTAATGTGGCAATGCTTGAACCAAGAAACTATGTTGAAGCTGTTAAGTCAGAAGCTTGGAGGAATGCAATGCAGGAGGAGATATCTATGATTGAGAAAAACAATACCTGGAAGCTTGTTGACAGACCTGAAAACAGAAAAATAATTCAGGTAAAGTGGATTTACAAGCTGAAGGTTAATCCTGATGGCACAATCCTGATGGCACAATCCATAAACATAAGGCAAGACTTGTGGCAAAAGGATTTGCACAGCAGCAAGGGGTGGATTACTCTGACACATTTGCTCCAGTGGCTAGACATGGCACTATTAGATTGATCCTTGCTATGGCAGCCCAATTTGGTTGGAAAATCTTCCAACTTGATGTCAAGTTAGCATTCCTGAATGGTTGCTTGAGTGAGGAAATTTTTGTAGAACAACCTAAAGGCTATCAAGTGAAGGGTGAAGAAGGCAAAGTGTATTTGTTGGAGAAGGCCTTGTATGGCCTAAATCAGGCACCTAGAGCCTAGTACAGCCACATAAATGATCACCTAAGCAGTCTAGGATATGTGAGAAGTCCTAATGAACATACTCTTTATGTCAAGGAAGCTAAAGGTGACTTGATTGTGATATCTTTGTATGTGGATGATCTGCTAATTACAGGGAGCAATCCAGACCAGTTGAGCCAGTTTAAAAGGACCATGCAATCTGAATTTGAGATGACAGATTTGGGGGAGATGGCATACTTTCTTTGTATGGAGATTGTCCAATCCAGAAATGGAATCTTTGTGTGCTAAGAAAGGTATGCAAATGAGGTGCTTATAAAGTTTGGCATGGAAAATTCCAAACCTGCAGATACTCCATTAGTTTCCAATTTGAAACTGAGCAAGAATGATGGTGAGAAAAAAGTGGATGAGGGATTGTTTAGAAGTGGTGGGATGCTTGATGTATTTAACAGGCACACAACCAGACCTTATGTTTGCAGCCAGCTATCTCTCTAGGTTCATGAGTTGCCCAAGTGAATTGCATTATAGGGCAGCCAATAGGGTGTTGAGATATGTGAAAGGGACCTCCAGTCTTGGCATTTGGTTCAAGAGGGCAGAAAATCTAGTGTTGCTGGGCTATATTGACAGTGATTGGGGAGGATCACTTGATGACATGAAAAGCACACCAGATTATGTATTTTATATCAATTCTGGTGCAATTAGTTGGCTATCAAAGAAGCAAGATACAGTGGCACAGTCCACAATAGAGATAGAATATATTTCTACTGTAGCAGTTGTAAACCAAGCTGCTTAGCTTAGGAAAGTGCTGACAGATTTGAAGCAGAATCAGGGAAGGCCAACTCCAATTTTGTGTGACAACCAGTCAGCGGTTGCCATGGCCAAAAATCCAGTCCTTCACGGCAGGACCAAGCATATTAAGATAAAGTTTTATGTTGTAAGGGAGGCTGAAAACAATGGAGAAGTTACTTTGATTCACTGCCAGTGTGAGGACCAAACTGCAGACATTATGACCAAAGCATTGCCTAAAGCCAAGTTTGAGGAACTTAGACTCAAACTTGGTGTCTCCAACAAAGGCATCAAGGAGGAGTGTTGATGCAGTGATACTTTGCTGGAAATGCATCAACATTGCAGGTTCAGTTGGAATTGTTTTTGAAGCCTGTTGAAGATAGTTTGCTGCAATGGTCCAACGTGCATGGCTGTAATTTTTAGTGTATTGTAGTTGAATGGCTTAAGTGTAATTAAGTCAATAATATGGTGTGTACTGTGTATGAAATATTAGTTGTTAAGTTTTAAATTTAAATTTGTAATGTCTGCTATAGTTGTTGAATTAGCAGAGAGTTGTTAAGCTAATGTTTATATTGATCAACTTCAATGAAAACCATAGACTTTCGCATATATGCTCTGAGTTCTCTTTATCTTTCTTTTGTATTCTTCGGCCAAGAACCATCAGAAATTAATGTCTTACCCCTTCATGCTATAAAATTGCTCATTGGGTCTGGGGTTGGTGATTAATATATGTTTAGTGCATTCAACTGCTTGTATATTAGAATTAGTAAGTTTTAGCTAGGTTTTGGTTAAACCTGATGTGTCCAACAAGCCACTAAGGATTGGCTAATGTAAATTCTTAGCATTGTTGTATCTACACTAGATTAATGAATAAAAATAAAAATAAAAACCTCTCCTAACCATTTCATGTAATCAGTTGTCTAGATAGCTTTTTTGGAATCTCAAGCTGTTTACTGATTTGACCGTTAAGAGATGGACAGTTCATCTACCTATGAATGATCCATTATTATTTTCTGAAATTTTGAAATCAATTTTGTATGCCAACTGTTCGTTTTTGTGATGCTGGTTATTCAAAGAAGAAGAGAGATGAAAACTAAAAACTGGACACACATTTTTATTAGACAAAAACTGCATATAACATACTTCAATTACTGTTTCAACAACCAGCAGACCACTTTTCCTTAATCTCAGCTAAGCCACATAAAAGGCTAACTACTTTATNTCATGCACTTTCTGAGACTAAACGCTCTTTATCAACTTATGACAAAGAACTCTTTGCTTTGGTCATAGTTGTACATAAATGGCGCCCCTTCCTCTTGGGTAGCAGATTCAAGGTACGCACTGATCACCACAGCCTTAAATTCCTTTTGGAACAAGGATTGGGAACCCCTCCCAACAACGATGGTTGGCAAAACTTCTTGGCTTTGAATTTGATGTGGAATATCGTAGTAGTGCTTCTAATTATGCTGCCGATGCTTTGTCCAAAATTCTGAAATGTCTATCTCTAACTCAACTATTACCAACTTGGTTAGATGATATCCACGAAAAGCATTACGAATCTGTGGACATTCAACACAAAATGCAAGCTCTTGTTGATGGGACAATTTTTGGTAACAAGTATGCAGTCAGACATGGATTATTATTTTACAATGATCGGATTTATTTGGCTTCAAATTCTGCTACTAGAGATCTTATTATGCAAGAGCTACATGCTGATCCTAGCGGGGGCCACTCAGGCTTTCAATAAACTTTCAAAAGAATTGCTCGTGATTTTTATTGGCCTAGGATGACATCTTTTATTAAAAAATTTGTTAGAGTGTGATATTTGCCAAAGAGTTAAACCTGAAAATACACACCCAACTGGTAAAGTTCAACCACTGCCTATTCCTTCACAAATTTAGACAGATTTCGCAATGGACTTTATTGAAGGCTTGCCATCGTTAGCTGAGAATGATGCATTTTGGTAATAGTTGACCGTCTTTCAAAGTATGCCCATTTCTTTGCACTTAAACATCCATTTTCTGCAATCGGTATTGTACGGTTGTTCTTTGACAATATTTTCAAACTTCATGGGTTTCTGAAGACAATTGTCAGTGATTGTGATAAAGTGTTTGTTAGCATTTTTTGGCGTGAGTTATTTCGCTTACAAGGCACTAGATTACAATTTAGTTCTGCTTACCATCCCCAGTGTGGTGGACAATCAGAGATAACCAATTGGTGTCTCAAAAATTTCTTGCGTTGCTTCACCAATAACCGTCAGCAGAACTGGGCAAAATGGCTCACATTAGCGGAATGTTGTCACAATACGAATTTTCATTCTGCCATCAAGATGACACCTTTTGAAGCAGTTTATGGATACAAGGCACCGAGGCTTCTCTCTTACATTTCTAGTACAACTCACTTACCAAATTTGGATGCAACAATAAGGCAACGAGATCATATTCTTTCATTATTAAAGGAGAAT